TCTCCGAAACCATGACGAACTCTTTTTTTTACTAGTTCTCCCGATACCATAACGACCCCGTGCCCATTATTTTACTAGTTTTCCTGGTACCGTAACGACCATTATTTGACATTTTTCAAAGAAAATAGCGTAGCAATACTGCATTTTTTTTTCTTGATTTGTATGGTTCCTCGGGGCATCACGAAATCCATGTTGGCAAAAAAAAAAAAAAAAAACCAATGCTTAAAATACACATTCCCACAATATTAGTGGCACACAATCCTACATTTTCACGCAACCAATGATACTTATAGTCTAAACAAAATACTTGTAGTACAATAAAATTAAAATAATAATAATAATTAAGAACAACAAGAATTGTACAGATTTACCTCCGTGCGTCCGTCCGTCCGCATAATGATCCATGCCCCATAATATAAAATACATGTACACAGAAATGAAATATAGTTTCTGTGGCAAAATGTACTATAATGTGTACATACTCTCAGTACATGAAATTGTTCACAAAAACAGATCAGAAAATACAAGAATGACATTAAAATGTCGGCGTAACATGCACACGCAGCATTACAAATAAATTATATCAACAAATGGGGTAGTACGGTACAGTACAGTACGGTGAGGTTTGGTTCAATTGATGTTTTATGCATGTTGTCATGCTGGAGTCCATTGCTATGTCACGTGAGTTGAAGATTAAAATTAAATTGATATCTGAAGCAGTATAAGAATATTGGCTGGCGTAAATACACAGTTGGGGCCACTGTACTATTTTAGAGAAGTGTTGTTTATAAATAACATTTGTGGCCGAAAACTGGGATTTGTAGATTTACCTCACCAATGTCTTAAAGGTCACGGTCACGGTGCTCGGACCAAACTCTCACACAAACACCTTTATGATTTTTTTCTTTTTATCCGTAACGACATTAAATGAACAATTATAATTTTCACTTTACGTTGACTTGGATTATGTTCAAAATGTGATTTTAGAAATAGAATTACACCGAAATCTGAAACTCATATTATAATTAGTACAAGCGTTATTCAAGTTCGTAATTTATGTTGATACGCCCTCTAGCGGCAGGGATTTGATGGTTAATATCTCTTGAATTTCATAGACAAAACATTCGCTCTCTTGATACCTTGGACCCCAGTCCCTCCGCAAAGGAGGGAGTGTGCTTGAACGGACACACATTCCATGTCACTTGGGAGTTCACCATGAACAAAACACGTTTAGTTTGTTTGTTCAATCATTAAAGCTCTTCTTTCACTTCACCTTTCGTTGCGACCCCAGAGCACCAACAGACGTCCGTCTCTGAGTTACGACTCTTGTCTTCTAATGTAATTACGTTATATTATAGAGTCCTCTATAGTCATACTAAAGTAAATCTATTCTATTCTATTCTATTCTATTCTATTCTATTCTATTCTATTCTATTCTATTCTATTCTATTCTATTCTATTCTAAAGTTACTAGTACCCTCAAATAATTGTGGCTTTGCAAATTGTTTATCAACTTTGAATGGCAGCGTTTTCTTAGATGTTTTCATTTCATTGCCTCTGACCACGATACGACATTTGTTTTGGCTTTCAAGAAACTTTTATAAGTTATTTTTAACACAGACTAACTGTTACATGCTCTGTGTTCATGATCAAAGATATAACGACTAATTTTTGCACATTTGTGTGTTAAAACATAGTCAATAAAAGATGATAGACATATGATGTTGATAACGGTGATAATTATCTGATAATTGGCCGATAATCATTATGAGTGCAATGTCGCTATAGAAAAATGAGCTTACTCGAAGCCGTAATTATCATAACCTCCGATAGTCATCGGATAAGGTCAGAGTTCTCCAGATACATGCGGAACATTCCGTCAGCTAATTCCAAAAATATGCAAAATCCGCTAAATGAAATCAACGTGAACATGTAAAATAACGATAGAACTGTTCGTGAACTAATTGTTCAATATATCAAAATAGCGAAATTAAATGACAGTGAAAATAAAAATGTATCACTTTAACACGCAGCTCGAATTATCGGATACATAAGTTTAGTTTCATCGATCTACCATTGGTCTTCTTTTATATATACGTGTATTTTATAGCATTGATCTCTTTTCAATGCAATTTTGTGTGACGGTGTTTTAAACAGTTTAAAGGGCGGTAGTCGTCGCGCCACGCATGCGCGCGATATCTGGGTCTCAGATGACGACTTTGGCAGATCAACGAGTACAAACTGAGACGTCACTAAGCTTAATTTTTTTAAGTGATTGGAAAGTATCGACGGAGTCACCGGTAATAGTGCAAGTCGTGCCTCAGGTCAAACCTCTTACTTGTGATTTTCATCGGAAGGGCGCACTGGATTGTCAGAAAATCATTGTTTATCAACTCAAATGTAGCGCAGCGTGACTACCACCACCTTTAACATTCTGCGGGTTTTTTTGGAAAGTCAGTGGCAATGACCATGTTTATTTGTTGACTTATGAAGTGAAAATATTGTTTTATAACTAATGTCATATATAGCAGTCAAGATTCCTTACCATTTTTTTATATGAAATTTGATCGACATAAACCTTCATTATTTAATTGCACACGTGACGAAAATACCCCAATTAACAATATTTTAATTAATGTGTAACTGTGAATGGACCAATCTGATTAAAATTAAATCTGTTGTAGAGATTTTTTATATTTTATTTGAAAATTAGTTTAGATATTTGGGGTTATTTTTTGTAACGTTGTTTAAATTTATTTTTTCTGATCGCAAAATCCCTTTGCGAGATTGCGTGATTACAAATAGCTTTAAAAAATACCAGTAAATAAATGAAACAAAAACAAAATATATGAAAAATAAATAGTTAAATAAACGTCTAGAGACGAGATACTTATTATGTTTATATACTACAAGTCATACCATGGACGCCAATCTTAGAAAGATTATCTTTCATACTCGGGTAATCGGGTGATACTTTTATTTACAAACGCGGCAACGAATTTACCAACAATCTTTCCTTGATGATAGCCAGCACACAAGAATAATGAGGGTTGGCAAGAGGTATTTTCGTAAGCTGTAATCAATTGTTTTAATTTTCCTAATAATGTAATTTAAATAAATAAAAAAAACGTAAAATCGTAGAAACGGTCAAGGTGTAAAATGTAATCAGTTATTTTATTCGTCCGTAATTTGTAAAAAAATCTTATTTTTTGCCAGTGTAAGGGTATAGTAAGTAAGTAATTTATTATAGTGACCTGCAGCGCAGTGAACTGCCCAGCCCAGTGGACTTATAAGTCACCAGGTTATGAAAGAGAGCTTGAAATAATATATCAACAATACAATCGTGTAGTTCATTTCGTGTAGGAAAATTAAATTCAGACGTACAACAAATTTCTTCTTTTGTAAAAGGCCTTTTCTATAAAAAGAGCAAGTTTTGAAAATTAACGAACCATTTGTTCCCGTGATATGCCAGTTATTTCATTAAGAATTGAATCTAGATACTCATGCCTCAATTCATTGTATTGCTGTCAGTCAAACAAAAATGCATTTCGTCCTCAACAACGTTTGCATCACAAAATTCGTTCACTTACAGGCTCGTGTCTAAATCGCCCAGTCTCAATACGGAGAGGCAAAATGCCCATGCGCAGTTGAGCTAATAGTGACCTTTGACCCCGACTTAAATTTATTAGTACGTACTTTTCTGGTTTATAGTATTCAAATTTAAAAGTTGCATAGACACGTAACTTTGGTTTGTGACTAACATCTTCTGACCAAGATGACTCTGACCTCCTCGCAAAATTTTCCCTTAATGCATGTATATTTATGGTAATTAGGTGTTCATAATTTAAGTCAACGAGCTCCATAATTTGGTAAATCTCCAATGACCAATTATTATAATTTAGGGAGTGATCCCACAGAAATACTCGTTTAACTAGTCTATTGTCATCAAGTTCAGTAAGACGCTTCCACAGTCTAACCATATGGGCCCATCTCCGATCTCTGCACGAGACCCACCCAGTGTCACCTTTAACGGCCGGGAGTGGGGAAAACCTATGGGTGCCAAGAAAAAAATATTAAAGCCCTATTTTGAATCATTTCACACTTTTCAAATTTACTAAAACCCCAAACTCCGGAACAACAGTCAAGTATAGTATCAAGTATAAAGCTTTTCCCATTAAATTAAACATTAAATGTTGTAATTATTAATTATAAAGTGTAAACAAAATATTTTTTACTGTAAATGGAACTTTTATTTTATTTCATGTAAAAACGTAAAATGCCTTTTATTTCCTGTAACCTGCACCAACCGACGATCATGATCTGCACAAGCAAAAACAAGATATTGCGCCATCAACGACAAAAACATTTCCTTTCTTTTTTGTTTTACGCCGACCAAAAACAAATTGTGGGGGGGGGGGGGTTACAAGTCATTAGCTCAACATTGCCTGCTGAAAACCTGCACACATTGCGGATATAAATAGTATGTTGTCAGCAAGGCAACGCGTTAATGTGCCATGACTGGAAACCAGCAAAACTTATTGGTAATCAAGCATGTAGAATGAATCAGGCGAACACCAACAGTTAACAGCACACAATATATTTATTATACATTTCACAACAATGTAATAGCGAGTTTATAACATATTGGTAGTTCAGTTGCTTGCACCACAAACAAATGAATTAAATTTCATACACTTGTAATAAATGCCACAAATAAGGCATACCATGTTTTTGAGAATTCCTGACATCTTAGAGACCCACTAAAATGATGGTCATCTGCTAAAAAGTTATTGCTACTTCAGAAATTAACAGGGCAAAACAATTGGGCCTCACATTTGTCCAGTGCATTTTAAAATGCACCAGGTTACAACTCTTTTGCGCATGTCACAGGGAGGTGACTGGTCAATTAAAAATTAAATACTTTCTGTGTGACAAGTTTTACAGTAAAACATTACATAGTGTAAACCTTTCCGGTAAATTTTTTCTCAATACTGGAACAGTGAGGCAATTTTTTTTGTGCTAAATATTTGCTGATACACACAATTTTGCAGGTTTAATCAATTCGTCAATAGAGGGCGCTTGCTGCGCTGTGCTGCAATAAGTGAAAACAAACCCGCCCATAGTTTTTTGGTGGTGTGCAACTAACCAGAAACATTTATCTTTGTTAGGCATAATAATCACATGGCGATATTTAGACAAATATCAATATAGCTGTATTGACCTAGAAATATATGTTTAGATGGAATTATCATGATTTTGAACAGTTGGAGCTCAGTCCTTGATTTAATGTTTACATTGACACAATAAGAAGCATGTGGACGACTCTCAGAGGATTACATCGTTCTAAACACTTTCCCGTAATGACAAGGTTATATCGATACACTGTAAACTACTTAATCTACATTACTAGAATGTTCACGATTTGTGAAGACAAAATTTTGCGAAAGTTACTGACATTGCATGAAAAGCACTCCAAAAAAATTGTCACTGCTAGAAAATATCATGATTTTGACCAACTCAAAAGAATTGTCTATTGAAAAATTAAAAACTTTACATGCAAGGGAGATATAAACTATGAAATACCACGGGAATTCAAGATGCGATTATTTTGTAACAACATAAAATGCATTTTCGACACAGCAATACAAAATCTTTAAAATAAATAAAAAGTGTAAATTAAAAAAGACAAAAGTATCATCTACTTGGACGGAATGTATTTAATACTGTTTTTTCAAATATTTTGACTCAATTAAGAACACATCTTGTAAATCTACATCACTTCAAATAGTACAAGTTAAAGCTGTGGACGGAATAATGAAATAAGACTGGTCTGGTCTGGTTGTCCATTACATGTACAATGGCACCTAATGTAATTTGAAGAGACGATTGGTTTGGTGCATATGGTCCACATACCTGAAAAAAAAAACAGAATGGAAATAATTATTTTGTGAATGAACTGTGGAATGTATTGTACAAGGACAAATATTCACTTGCTATGTTCACACGGCAGCATTCTATAGAAGCTGAACTACTACTCCTCCCACGGATTAACAGGAGATTATCTCCAATGCGTTCATACGGTAGAGCCAGACGAGAGCCGTGATCTGCCAGAGTTTGATTCAGTTCGACCAGAGCCGAACGGAACAGTGCCCTTGAATAATTAGTGACTGCAAATGATTTTAGTGTCGTGCTTGTGTTTTTTCTTTACATGGCATGATGCTGTTGATCTAGGAGAAAAAAGAGCCTGAGCATGGAGGTAGAAAAGACAATGACTGGTATTATGATTTAGGTACTAGTATCTCGAATAAACAGTAAACACGACAGCTAAAATGAGTTATTGTCATGCAAAATTACCATTTTGTAACTATTCAACTGTAGTGATATCTAAACTACTAGGAAGAATCGCAGATTCTCTCTATCTATCATAGAGGGACTATGGAAGAATCTAAACCTACCAGGAACACGTTACCGTACCGCGATTGTTTCTACGATTTTTATGTTTAGTGTCTTTAAAAAGTTTCCATTCAGTCGTTCTTTCAAGTTTTTGCCACATAATTTCGTGCGCCATTTTTGTTTCCCGTTGAGCTATTAATCTATCGCAATAATTTGTTACTATATATTAGGACGTGTACCTCTTATTCAAGCCGGAAATTGCGTAAAATTATGAGAGATGTTGTCTCCGCCATAATTGAAATGAGAGGTTACTCGAAGAAGACGATTGAGGGCGTGATTTCGGCTCCGATAGTTGGGCCCTGATGCGCTTACATGATCGGAGCTATGTCGGGACTCAACCCTATCGAAGTTCAACCCCGAGGGTTTAGTGGAGCCGAACTTGGCTCGAGCCGAACACGTTTACATGGCCATTTTTGCTGGCTCGAGCCGTTGGGGTCCGATAAATTGCTGTCGTGTGAACGTAGCAAATGAGTTTCATTTTTACAAATAGTATTATCTTGCAAATAGTATTAGTATGCAAACGATACAAATATATATGAATTTATTTAATTAACTTGACCTACTTGTGAAAGAAGTAAGAGTATAAACAACAAAGTACATAGCTTACATGAGTGATTCTCTCGGGTTGTACATTTGAAATACATATGAACCAACACATACATAAATAAATCATTGGTAAGACTTCCTTAGTCCAAAAAAACCCACACAACTCTAATCATAACCTTGCCCCTCCCCTGTTTTAATTGTATATGCCCCTCTTTGGACATGAGGGGGGCATATACAATTACATGGGGGCTGGAGTGTTAGGTTAGGGTTAAGTTTTGGACAGGGAAGTCTTTCCACAACAATTATCAAAGGTGTCAGAAACGATCCGGCATTGGTCTCTTGTGGTCCTGGTAAAAAAAAAGATGATCCTGCCCTGGTTTGGACGTTCCGGCCCCAAAACTGATTGGTCGATCCAGGCCCGGTTATGAATTATTTTCAATACGTGTTCATATCTAATGTTAACATATTAAATGCACAATGAATGCATGATTATCTTATTCTAAATTTATTTTTTGTCTTTTGCAGGGTATTTTCACGATTTAACACCACGTTTTACACAATGCAGTGAATGGCACTGTGCACATGGATCTGTGCGGCCCAGACACAGAATACACATCTGATACAATCTGTTTCAGTCAGGATTCAAATGCACATTTGTGGTTGTTTATCACGTAATGAATTCGGAACGTAGAAAAATGTATCAATTTATGTAGGCAGACAAAATAGTGTTATTGGTCTAGCAGTGTTTTTGGATGTTGTGTTTTTGCTTGTCAGGCAATACAGTTTTGATTAGCGTACACATTTTCGTGCTTAGTTGGAATGCATTTACAAAGGGAATTGTGTGAATAAATTAAGAATGGAAGGCACATTTGTGATGGCGGCGAGTAAATAAACGTCTGTTGCATTGTGTAAAACGTGGTATTAAATCATGAAAAATGTCCTGCAAAAGACAAAAAATAAGTTGTGAATAAGATAAGTCATATATTCGTTGTGTATTTAATACATTAACATTAGATATGAACACATATTGAATATAATTTATATCCAGGCCGGATCAATCAACCTGTTTTGGGGTCGGAACGTCAAAACCAGGACCAGATTGTCTTTTTTTACCAGGGTCGTCTAAAAATCACAATTATCAAATACATGTACAAAGTTTGTTTGATATGAAGTGTATTTCCATCTGTCCATGGTAGATCCATGATATTACCCACAGTCCCTCTATGATAGACAGTCCCTCTATGATAGAGGGACTGTGTATTACCATAGCCTAGTGCCAAGCAACATCCGAGTATTATGTGTGGGCGATTAAACCATGTCGTTTATTTAAAGATAAGCTGGAGGTAAATACTCAAAAAACAATGACAAAGAAAAACTGATGGGTTTGTACTTTGTGTAAATAATAAGGGAATGCATGTTCACCCTGGGATGGTCGGTTTGATGACCTTTTACGATTAGGTCAATAAAGTATATTCATGTCCTGGATCTATTGTCTGTGAGCACTGTAACTTTAAATATCACAGCTATAACTTCTTTACGGAATTGCCGGTTTCCATGGTGAGTAGAGAATATAGGATTAGCCAATGAGTTGCTATTCAATGATTGGTATTGAATTTCGTTCATTAGAAATGCAGGATCATTTTTAGTTTAGTAGCGCTTGAAAAAACAAAACATACGCTTACAAAACGAACACGCGTTAAGTATATTGTACTGAATTGTATTGTAGTCTATATTTGTTTCAGAATTTTACTCCCTTCCCTAAATAAATAAATAATAATAACCAAAATTGAACGTGATACCTAAAACAACTCATTTTTACTCATTTCAAATGTCAGTATATATTAGAGTTCTATTAGGAGAGTGACAATTTTCCTATTGAACAATCGTTTCAATTCGGCAAATTGACCGAAAATCGCACGACTGTATCTTGCTTACCTTGTCATGGGACTATTTATGTGCGGGAACCTTGTCTCTTTGTAAGGTGATGTTGGGGGAGGTACAGCGATACCGGTTCCCCAGTTTGGTGGATATCCCCGACGACAAGTCCCACGGGAAGGCAAAATCTGTCGCAATGAAGACCACTCTTCACTCCTTGTGCTCGGCTGGGAGGCGTAGATTTCTCGTTCTTCGTACCCCCTGTCGATGACTTTCAAAGAAGGTTCTCCCAACGGCACCCAGTATGATGGAAGTTGCTGGTATTCCCTCGAGACCATGGGTTTGTGTTTTGGAACAGGCGCTGTACTGCGAAGGTCTGTCGGGATGAACCGCTTCGACACCCAGACTGTTTCGAGCCCATCGGTCGAGAGGTCTTGGTGGCGACTGTACAAGTGTTTGTACGCACCGAACGACCCGCAACAATGAGCAGCCATGTTGAGTTGATATACTAGTACTGCCAGACAGTTTAACTGTTTAGAAAAGGCACATAAATGTAACAGTACAGAAACGTCTAGCAACAATAAAGGCCTATCTGTCAACCACCAGTTGCTCGGAGTGTCGCCGGTGTGATGACGTCATATACACAAAAGAACACGCGTTGCTTGACTGGTTTCCGGCCTCAGTTACCATGGTGCCGACATCGCAAGGAACGCCGGGAACTAACCCCTGGCTAATGTCATACACAAAAGGTTTAGGCATTGATAAAATAGATTTACGCTGTTTACGTAACCCACGTAGCCCGAAGCAAATCATGACAACAGTTCTAGCCGGTGAGGGCGTAAATGAGAGCGCAGAAATGTTTTCCCTTCTTCCAGTCTGAAAGTGAAATTATTTCTTCATATCTCGAAATGTTTCACGATGAGATTGGATGAGAAGTCGTATGTTACAACAAGTATTTATATAAATCCTAATATTGTCAGTCTATGCCAACCTTGACTTTAAATACTTGAAGTACGGAGTTTTTTTTTCATGCACGCACAATCATCACCGGCTAAAAGGTCAACAACGTTAGCCCACGGTCGGTCAATATGAGTGACCGTGGTATTAGCCATATTAAAACGTGTGCGCACGCAAGAGAACGAAATGAATGTGACCGTGACGTGGTCTTAGCCACAGTCAGCTGGCACATACGTGATAATAAAATAAATACGATATTTACTATATGGGGCCGCCATCTTGAATGCAGCATAAAACTAAATAAGAGACAAGTTATGAAACGCGTTTTTCAGATTCCTACAAATCAGGACAAAAATGCCAATCTTCCACGGAAATACGATCCATTGGGATAATATTAAGCCAACCGATAACAAAATTCGGTCGAATTCGTTCCTTAAATACGAACACCTAATTACACGAAGAACATAGAACACTTTCCCGGGGTATTTAAAACCAAAAATTGTCATTCCAGCTCAGCAGCCAATCTTCCACGGCCTTACAGTCAGATGACAATTTCTGTTTTAAATATAGTAAATATTGTATTTTATTATTTCGTGTGCGCCGGCTGACTGTGGTCTTAGCACGGTCTAAGTTTGCGCGAACCGTCACAGCACGGGCTAAGCACCCATTGGGATGAAACATTGCAACTCAATACCATTGTTACAGTATTCGTTGTTCGTTTCAATGATTTACTGTAAGTTATGTTTATTTCGGCATATTATTTTCGACATGACAAGCAACATCCGTGTACACAGGGAAATTATTCTGAAGAAAAGATGGAATGACATGTACAATGGTACTCTGTATTACTTCCCATTATTCTAAGGATGGTGTGTATCATTTAACGTTATCGGATAATATTATATCGATAATAGAATCTAATGAACCCGTCGAAAAGATCTAATATATTTGTATGGGACTTCCATTGATAAATCTAACGGTTTCAATTATATCCAATGTATTTGATTGAGTAGACATTAGATGGGGTGACCTTTGAAGTCGTCGAGAGTAGTTACTCTTCGTTATTATCGGATAGTTACTGTATTGTAAAATCAAACATAAAACAACTGAATAATTGCATATTATTTGTAAATCCTGTCTTCATTTACTCCGTACTAAATATAGTTTCTTCCATGCGTGAACGCATATTGGATTAACCTGAACACAGTCATATAAGAATATGAATACTGCTTCAAAACAAATCTACAATAAACTGACACGTGACCCAACACATGTATACATATATTATATTATGGACCTTCTTCTTATTGTTTAATTAATTTATTGTTTAATCATAGTATTTGAATCAGAATCGTTTTTCTCTGCCATGGCCCAGACAATTAATATATTCGCTGCTTGAGATCATAGTGTTGTTTCAACCGCTGTCCGCTGTTTCGTAAAGAGGGCGTAGTCGGTAAAAACGAATAAACGCGATTTATCGCCACTAGATGGCGCGCGTCGCTATAAATAAAATCGGTTACACTGTAAACACTTGGTAAACTGTACCACAGTCCCTCTATAGATAAAAAGTAAAATAGCTACAAAAGTACAATCTATCTGAATACTCTTAATCCACGTTCGTTCGTTTCCATCAACTTCGGAGTATGCACTGGTAAAGTCGATACATTGAATTTATTTGTTTTCAAGTTGTTAGATAATTACTAATAGACACTATCCGCAGAACAACTACTTTTTTCAGAATATCACACTTTATACCGTTATATTATGATATTTTTATATATTTAAACCTAAAAAACAGCAACTTGATGATTGGATTTATCTTCGTAATTAGCACACTCAATTAGTCAAAACGCATTCAATGCAATCTATTTCTATATGTCGAAAGGGCGGTGGTCGTAATCCATATTGGACACTGTCCTTCAAATTTGTATTTGCAAACTAAATTGTGAAAATAGAGTATAGTATATCGTTAATGTTCGCAACCTTCTGGGCGGTGGCATTGTCTGCTCCTGTACGGTATCGTATTCGTCTAGAAAGCCCCCTCATGTCAGTACTGACCCTTGACAGATCTGATATATACACACCAGTAAATATGTTGTTGGGACATAATTTAAAATACTAAAATTACATTTTCATCGTCTAATCGGGTATTTGTGTTTACATCTATCAAATCAGTTCAAACGGAAAGTCGCACCCTCACAGTCCGGCGTCACAGTGTTTGCAATTTGTTGATTTTTTTAGCAGGATTACTGTATTCATGTCGGCATTAGTTACAATGTTTTGTCAAAATTCATTGCCGAAAACTCTACTACATCCTTTAATTGACATACATCAATGTCGCCCTCACTCAGCTCTTATAAGAAATCGCTCAAGAACCATCGGGACCTTTAAAAACCTGCATACCCACAGTAGAATGGTACAGTCCATACTAAAGATGGCGAGCTGTGTTAGTTTTCAAAAGTTCTTCTCCGCTATTTGCGTCGTTTCATTCAGTTTTCTACTGGAGAATACAATTTTATCAATCGATGCCAAAGAAGATGGTGAGTCAAAGCTGTTTGTCGCAATCGGTGCGTTTTTCCGTGTTGATTTTGTGTATTACCATACTTCTATCCATTCTTCGAGACTCTGGCACTTCATTTTCAAAACAAAAGTCAAACACTGTCGATATTGGTTGTGATCTGCTCTTCACGGTGCATCCGAGTGTCCGAATATGTCATATCATAACATCAATAGTTTTATCACTTTATTGTCGATGTGATTTCATGAAGGATTAGACCTGTTTTTAATAATGATCTTCCATAAAAAACTTCCTTTTATGCAAATATACTTCCTTGGGAATGTCCTTCATAAATGAGGCCTGGACCGCACTTAGTTTTGTAGTAACTTACCAAGTTACTCTAGACTTTAACATTACCGTATTTAAACGTCAAAGAATTTCATGGCAGAATACAGTATTGTACTGGTCATGTCTGCCTTCACGTTGACTAGTGGCATGCCGGCGTTGTGACCCTCATCGGAAGGCCAATTGCGACTCTATCTGATACTCCTGTCTTGTAAATTGAGCTAGATGGTGAAAGCATGGCTGAGTGTAACTCGATACGATCATTGCTTACGTGGCGAATTCAGGAACAGCTCGCGAGTTACGTGCACAACTGACAATCGACACTTCCTTGGTCTTGTGCATCGTATTGTACACCAGTAGGAGTGTATATAGGAAGTGTCTCAGCCGCTATTGTCTACTGTTATTTGCTCACGTTATGCCATAACACCAAGTTGTTGGCCTTACTACAAACAGTTAATGACAGCAACCCAGGCCCCTCAATTCACCTTGAATTTATTCAAATGAAACACTCCATCTTTAAATATTAGCACTATTTTAGCAGAAAACTTTCTGGCAGCAGCAGGCAAAAGTATGCAATAAAAAATTATATATATATACACATTAATACTCTCTTGGCCCATAGCATTATAGGCAGGTTAATACCAGTACAGTAATACTTTTGTTTACGTTCATTAACAATTTTTAAAGATACTGTAAAACATTACATGTCTTCTTCGCAAGCATGTCTTTTTAGCAAATTTAGCGAGAGAACTAATTCGCTAATTTAAGACGTCGCTAATGACTTTATTATAAATTCAAAATGGCGGCCAAACAACAGCTTTTTCTCCACACACACACTCTATAAACAACACAGAAAATCTGGGGTGCTTCCTAATTACACTTGACAGTTTTTCTTTGTTTTAATAGAGATGATAACTGCGCATTTGTTTTGGCAGGCGACAGACAAGTATTGTGAAAACAGGAAATCAACAATGACAAGAGAGATTCGCTAAATCATCAATTCGCTAGTACATCATTTTACCACAATTCGCTAAAATAGTATGTCGCTTTTTCAACATGTTTTACAGTATATAAAATTGGTTAGCTCAAAATTTTAAAAACATAATTATTTATTCAATTTTGTCAGATATTGATCCCGAACAATTGAGCAAAAAATGAGAATTCACTGAAAATTAGTATAGTAATTACTAAGTGATTTAAAAAAAAATATTTATTGGGTTTACGTATTTAAATTTGTCACGATTCACATATATTTAATTAATTTAGTGGTGTTGTAAATCTGAGGCATTGTCAGTGAAGTGTCATATATGGCCGGAAAGTAGAAAATACTTAGATATGGAAAATATGGAAACAAATTATTCAGGTATATTTGCAGAAAGAGTGAATGTGATTGTTGTATTCTAAGGTTATTAATTTGCAAAATTTTAATACTGTACAATACTTTATTTTCGCTGGAATTAATTTTCGCTGAAAAGGCTTTTTGGGCGTTTTGCTTGGAATTTATTTTCACTGATTTTTCATGAGTTTAATAGGAAATATAGGGAAAAAAGTATATTCGCTGGATTTTATTTTCACGGAATCATCCCTTCAGCGAAAATAGCGAAAATAAATTCCAAGCAAAAATAAAGTATTCTACAGTATTATATTGAAATGAACATAAACATTTGTAATGGTAGTGATACGGTTTAATCAGTGCATCAGTGATTATGTCATACCACAATATTGATTTCATTAAATAATAACAACATTTTTTAAATTTTGGTGCAATATTTTCTTCAATATTTTTCTCAAAATTTTTTTTAATAATTTTAAACCAAATTGACATCATTTCCTATTATCAACAGGTCTTCATCAAAATTTGTGCAAAAAAATTTAAGAATATTTCCTAGGTTTCATTTGTAAAAGGTAACAAAAATAGACATTTTATTGGGTTAACATTGAACCAAATTTATATGTAATAATTTAATAAAATAAAAAAATTACATCTAGTAATTTCGGCTTCTGTTTGAATCTACAATTTGCCAGTCTTTAAATATTGATTGTAGTGCATTGATAAACACACCCCTTACACAGGTCTACCAGCATATCTGCAATATTTTGTATGTATCAGTATGAATAATATTATAAAAGTATGTTGTCATAGTGATAAAATAACATAACAGAACTGAAATTAATAATTATTTTTTGATAGTCTGTGAAATATTGGTGAGTTTACTATTTCTCAAATTGTTCTAATTTTTTGTGGGACAAATTTTCCTGAATTTTTTTTTAACTTTTATTTGTACTAGTTCAGTACATATTTACCTCCATCTTGTTAATTTGATAAAATATTTGGACACAGATGCTTTGTTAGCTTTTCCATTCCAACTCTTATATTATCGTTTGCATTAATATACAAGTCAAACAGTCGGTGCATGTCAAACTATTTTTTTCTGATGATTCTCAGTGTATCATTTATTACCCCATCTCCTGAAATATACTATTTATCAATACATTGATAACCTGGGAATTTGAGATTTGAGATCACATAATATAAAATTATTGTGGAAAAATTGCCTTCATTAGCGTAAAAATTACTTGGTTGGTGACTTAAATGTTTTTTTGTTTTGTTTTTTTTTGTTTTTTTTGTTGTGCTCAAGGGTACGTGGGATAACACTACAGTGTTTGGCTGCTTGTGACCTGAGCATAACCTTGAATGGTTAATTGTGTAATGACTTAATAGTGAAATGACCATATTTGTACCAATTTTACTTGCATTTATACTGTTAATTGCAGTTTGATCAGTAATCATGGATGCAAGGACAACTGCAAAATTAACTTACAGTATAGTGCATACAGTTCAGTTTGAATCATACCATTACCACATGGCCATTCGCTATTCAAATACTGGTATGTTTTCGTGGATAATTCTATTTTTGTTACAAGTACCTATTTGAATATTATCATGTACTGAGGAGAGGGGAGGGTTGCCCAATCAAGATATTTAACTTGTAACTGATTTACTATATCATAGACTATATCATATCATGTGA